AAAAAACATTCTATTCATTGTAATATCTGTCTTTATCATGTTATTTTGTAATAATACACGTGTTTTATTAAGATCACATGTGATTTTTTTTTTTTAAATAATTATTTTTTAGTAATACACGATTTTTATTAAGATTACACGTGATTTCTTTTTAAAAATATTCTATTCAGATTAAATTTTCCATAACAATGTTTTTTTAAAAAAATTCACTATGTTTTTTGAAATATCATGTCTTTTACTTCAATATAACATCCGAAATTTAAATGTTACATGCTATTTTGAAAAATCTCACGAAACTTTCTTGCATATCGACATCGTTGATCTCGCAACAAACAAAGGATAGTTTTGGTATTTCACATCATCCGACAACGTGAGTCCATGGCTATTTTGCAACAAAAAATTTTCTCTCGGCTATTTTTTTAATTTGAGTGTTTTATTTGGCTATTCCCTAATATTACCCTAAAAGATTTGCTTTGTCTCTTAACTTTACCCAACATGACACAACGTTGTGATGTGCTTTGTGACTACTATCATTATTTATTAGCCTAAGTTATAGTTTAATTTAAGTTTTGTAGATTCGTCGGAATTAACCGTTACAATGGGTGCAATGAACCACATATCTAATAAATGCGTACATTATAGTTTAATATCCTAAAAGTTTCCTTAACGCCATGAAATTAGTGTGGACAAATTATTCGTCTTTAGTAGTAGTAGAAGGCTAAAAGCAACTTGAACGTAATGGTTTTGATATGTGGCAATTTACGATAGCAGCAAAATCTTGTAGAAAATATTATCAATCGAAAAAAGGTAAAGATTAATAAACATAAACAAAAAAAATTTGCCAAAAAGAAAGTTTTGTTATCCAATAAAACAAGCTAGCAAAATAATGATTGAAAGAATAACAATAAAAAAACTGAGATAAAGTGATCAAAATCGATAAAATATAGCTTTATAAATATTGTTGATAAAAAAATTAACACATTTTCTATATTTTTACTTTTTATGTATTAGTTCCTTTTTAATATTTCATTCATGTATTGTTCATCATATAGTTACGTGTTAATTTTTTCGATATCATAATGTCATTTATTTCAGTTTAGTTATATGTGGTCATTTGACAATTTTTCTCTAATGTTTCTAATCTTTCTAACCTTTATCTTTATTATCTACTATTAAAAAAGATATTTCTTTTTGTTTGTCACACTATTAAAAAGATATTTCTTCATATGTTTACCTTTAACAAAAATAATATCTGTTTTTTTTTTGTTTTCTGTTACCCTACTAGAAAGATATTTGTTGTGATGCTTTTTCTGCCATCGCCCCAATCTAGTCAATATACCAAAATTAATTACTCGAAGACAAATCATACATATAATAATCTTTTAATGAAAAAGTCTAAAAGCGTAATGACTTGACTCTGAGGCCTAGAAGACTTGCTTTAAGACTAGTCTGTTGGGAAGTATCGAAGCAATGTATAAAGGCTCAACCTCTTCGTGATATATTCTTCTTTCTTATGGCCAACAAGAGAACTATTACAAGTCTACGTTAATGCAACTATTACAAATTCAAATATTGGTAGGTAATAATATTGCACTTACCACAAATTTTTAAAACTCCATGATTCATACATTTAAAAAGGCGACTGCATTCTCATTGGACTATAAATATGTTTAACTTGCATATATTCAAAGTGTATACAAGTCTATCTTGCAATATTTAGTGTAACCTTTTCTTTGTGTCTAAATTGCAACAATAAGTGTAACCACTTCTATCTTTTTTTTAACAAATTAAGAAACTTTGGTTTAGCTATACCAAAAATTCCATTATTACAGTTTATTGCTTAACACATATTAAACAGTAGTCATCTAAGGACAACAATCTCTTTCTATTTTATAGTACAACGATTTTGCTAAAGCAATAAATAAGTTGATTATGAAAATAATCATTTCTTATCATATTATAAAAATGTAAAGTTTTCAAATTCAACTATTCTTGATATTTTGCAAAACAATTTTTTCCTTGGATTCATTATATGTTACTATTAAAGCTTTTGTTTTTTGAATGGTGACAAAAATATCAATTTCACATCACCAAAATAGAAAAATATCAATTTCCATTATAACTTTAATAAAGGTTTTTATTTAAAATATACATTTTTCATAAATGCCATAACAAATCATTGTGATCACACTTCTACATGTATCTTTTTTTACCCAAAGAAGAGAATAAAAACATTACAAAAGTGATAATACGACTAAATCTCATAAAATTAAAAAGCCAAAAAAAGATGGCGGTTAAAAAGCTAGAAAAGAGAGTGAGTGTAAAGGAATTTATTTTCCCATAGATTTTGGCAAAGAAGACTGCGACACAAATCTGAACAAGCTGACACATAATGGTGTTGAAGTCACGCTCCCTCACAGCTGGGAACATTATCATTCATCACCACCACCATGTGCATTTATGTGCTCATCACCTATTTTTACATTTAATATTCTCCAAAAACATTATTATTAAGAAAATGATGAATAAATTAGTTAATTACAGTGAATAAGTTTACTTTTAATAACATCAGAATATTCTTTTCATAAGAGATTACATATAATTATGAAATAAAGTATAAACGGACCATTTGTAAACAGTGGCGGACCCAGGAATTATTTTTACCTGGGTCAAAATTTTATATTGAAGATGTAAAAAACAAAAATTACTCTAATATTGTCAATGAGCAGACTCGAACCCGAATTAAGGGGTGTCAAGATCAAGGGATTTGCCAACTGTGCTACCTTTACTTCAACGATTCTTACACATTAAAATATATTTAAGCATTTAACCTGGGTCAACTGACCCACCTTCTTCCTTGGTGGGTCCGCCACTGTTTGTAAACGCGTATTAAAAGTGATTATTTTGATTATTTTTCCAAGTTAATTTTGTTCAAAGTCAGCAAAGTCGAACCCATGTTTGGCTGCGGAAACTTCATGCGTCTTTGTCGCAAATTGTCACATAACGTTGGAAGTTTATTTCATAGTCAATGGACGACGATGGAAGTTAATTTGTAAGATTTTACCAAGGGCAACGAACAATATGTTGCTAAAGACATTGATTTATAATGACCACTTCCAAATATTGCATAGTCAACTCTATAACTTACTACTATAAAAATTGGATAACAATTGGTCGCTAATTAACCACATATTAGATTGTGATCGACATCCTTTTTACCATCTTATAAACTACATTTCTTATTTTATTTTTGTATTTTTTGTTGTGTGTTAGGGGTCCTATAAGTTGACAACAAAATATTTATATACGTTTTAACAAGCAATATAGGTAAACACGTAGATGGTTCGCCGACCTTTCAAACCAAAAGAAGTCGATAGCACTATTATGAGGACCGATCGATTAATAAGTTTGAATCAAATTTTGAATTCTAAAAAGCCGGTTTATTTAAATGATTTAATAACATATTACGTCGTACTTGGTTGATTATATTTTAATGTGTTTTATTCGCATTCTTATGGATTCATTCTTTTTATTTTTCCTTGTTGGACAAGGGATGCTTAATTATTATGATTCGTAGGGTTTATGTTTAGAGACAATAAAACGATTCATCTACATTTGACAACAAAAAGAGCCTTTTGTTATATAGAATGTGAATTAGCATTTTCTAAGTTTTATTAATGTTAAAACATATCTCCTAAGTGATCATAATACTTAATAAGTTATTGAATATAAACAATACTTTTGTAATCAACCTAAATAAAAAACTCTATTCATTCCTCTTCCAAGTTGTTACGTTTTGGTTTAGTTTCTTTATGTTAAACTTGTTTTGCTTCTCGAAGTTTGGTGAGAACTTTTAACTCTAAAATGATTCTTAAATTCTATGTTCGTTGCTGAAAAATATTCTCTGTTTTAGTTTGATTCCAGTTAAAATTTTGATATCTTGCGATGTATTTCATGATATTATTTTTATGGTCAATTTTATTTTATAAAGTATAGAATTTGCATATTATTAACATTGTTCTTTATCAAACTGCAATCCGACATAATTTATGGGGTATGATTTATAGGAGAAAGCATCCGCAAAACATAATACAGAGAGAAAAAAAATCTTTTTCTTTTATATTATTTTATATTCATATATGATTTAGTCATTTTGTACATATAAAAGGGTATTTTTAAAAATGGACAGCTAAAGGGGGCATTTTTGAAAAGGAGTATTGAAAAAGGGGCATTTTTGTGAGTCTCCCTTTATTTTAATGGTTAACTGTCTCAAAATAACCGAAAACTACCCTCAATATTTGTAAATGTATAAAAAAATTATTAGCCAGTCTTTGATCGTAAAACAAACTATAAAAAATTGTACGATAAGTAAATATCCTCTCTTTATTTTTTCGATAAAAAAAAACTTAATATCAGTAAAAAAATAAAGTTGAGTTATATAAAAGTGGTTTTTCTAACAAATGGTAAGTAACCTATTCTGGTTTAATATTGTTCACTAACCAAACATAATCATAAAATAACAAAAATAATTATCTAATTGGTCCCATTACATCAATTAATAAATAGCTGGTAGATAAATATAGAAAAAGTGATAAAACAATCTCCTTCAAGAAAAAGATATCCCAGTGGGCGACTAGGGTCAATGAAAATGAAAACAGAGACAAATGGCAATCCGTAATTATTCCCATTTATGTCAGGGTACTTTCGTAAATCACCACTTGACCGTTTCTCGAATCTGATTACGTGGCAGTCATCACAAATGCCCACAAAAGCACTTCGCTGAAACTAAATCTCAGCCGTTAGATCAGAATCCAATTCTTTTCAATACGGCAAGTTGAGATCCCCAAACCCATCATGCTTAACCATGGTTAAGTCAATTAACCCAACACACAGAAATCTCCTAAAATCACCAAAAAGGTCACGAACTTTCTCAATAATTACATAAAATGCCATTTAGAGGTTTAGCTATAAATTCGTCTTCTGAGACTCGCTAGGTTTGCCGAACCAATCACCCTTAGGGGACACTTAAGAGAGAAACAACAAAATCCTTCTTCTAAAAAATTCTTCAATCTTCTTCTCGAAGCTTCTCCAATGGCGATTACATCTTCTAGAACCACCAGATCAAACGGATCTGCTCTCCGATCCAAATCACCGTCCGGTCGATTCTGCGGCGTATACTCATCATCATCATCATCTCCGTCGTCGTCAGGTTTCGCTTCTTCAACAAGCTCAAGTTTCTCGTCACCGTCTACAGCGTTTTTCAGCAGCCACAATCAGAACAACCACCACCATAACCACCAACACAGATCTGCATCTCCGACGCGTGTGAATCTATTCACATCAGCTCCGATGACGCAATCGTTTCGTTACTCGATCGATAACAGATCTATATCACCGAATCGATCCATCGCTGTTTCTTCCAACAAACCTAGTAATCATAAGATTCCAGATTCGAGAAGGAGATGTATGTGTTCTCCGACGACGCATCCTGGTTCTTTCCGGTGTAGTCTACACAAAAACGTCGCGAATCCACACGGTCAAGGTACGGGGACGTATCCGACGAATAGTTTGAATATGCGTAGATCTGCGATGACGAATTCGCTTGTGAGAATTGGTGGTGTTGAAGGTGAATGGGTGAGAAGAGCTTTGACTACTTTGATTCGACCATCGTCACATCAACTCAAGAGAAGATCTGCTTATGAGCCTCGTCGTAGTAGACTCGCGTCTATGTCGAAAGCAGAAGATCTTTGAATCTTTCAGGTTTGTTCTTGTTTTTGAAATCGGCCACAGGAAAAAAAATACTCAGATCTGCCATGGAAGGAGTCAAATTCGGAGCTGAGTCATACCGGACCGAGTGAAATTCGGAGCTGAGTTAAACCGGACCGAGTTATGTAAACGGTGACCAAAGACGACACCGTTTTTGTTTTGTTGGGTGGGAGATGAGATGATGATGATGCATTGTACATACACATATTTGCTTATTGAAGCAGAGAAAAAATTTCGCAAGTCGAAAGTATCTAGAAATCTAAAATTGGAAAATAGTAGTGACGAATTGGGTAATTAAAATCTGGAAAAGGACTTAGTAGTAAATTGTTCTGGATCCAATTTTGCAATTCTCTCTTCATTGTCGTTGCCTTCACCGTTAGTTTGTTCCGTCAAGTCAACGTTCTCCGTTTTCCGTTGACCCGTTCCGTTTGCCGTTAACCGTCGTCGTGTGTTAAATGTGTGTTCCGTTAATTTTCTCCAGGTATGTATTGTTCGTCGTGTCAGGTATGTATTTTCCGTTTTTTATTTATTTGGTTAATTTCGTTTTTTTTTTGTGAACGTTTGATCTGTTTTTTGTTTTTGTTATTCTCTTTTTCAGGTTTCGTACAATGAGGAGAAGAACGTTACTTACACTAACCGTTACGTTCAACTTTGGAATATTTTTTTTGGACTGAAGAAGAAATGAAATTGGACTAAGAGAAAAATTAAATATTTGAACTGAAAGATTTTATGAGAGAAGGAGAATAGAGGACGATTACATTTTGGAACCAAAATATGTGAATGAGAGATTTTGATTCCTGAAACGATTAAGGTTGATTTTGGAGCTAGAGAATGTGAAAGATTCAAAGGAATCAGATTTTTCCTAACCGAGATGATGGTAAATGATGAAATTCCTAAACCGGTTGGAGGGAATTTAGAAATAAAAGATTCTTGGAACGAATTTGTGAATCAGAGAGTTGGATTCCTGAAACAGTTGAGGTTAAAGTGAAAGATTCAATGGAAATCATATTTTTACCATAAATATCTCAAGAAGTAGATGATTGATATGGTAAATGATGAAATTCTTGAGGGTAAGTTCGGGAAGTAAAAGATTCTCAAGGGGTACATTTGAGAAAAGGACAGCTGGCTGATGAATGGAGAACAGCCCAACATGAAATCATTAATTTTTTCTTTGGACATCAAAATTAAATAAAGAAACAAATCGGGAAAAAGAATATTACGTTGGAGATTCCAACGTCTACCTTATCTCCTTATCTCGAGGGATTAAAGTTGGATTATACTATCTTATGCATAGGTCGATTTTATAGATCCCTTATCTCCTTAGTCTCTCTTGATAAACTATTTTATGGCCCCTCTAATTTTAAATTTGTTCAAACACGTTTAAAAAAATAAAATTATAGATTAAAAACTGAAAATGCACAAACTAAAAGCCCAATTAGTTTTTCATCTTTTGTATACAAGTCCATATCCATTTAGTTTAATAAACATACTTTAAAAGAATTAATTAAATACTTTTAATGATTTAGAAGATGTGTCTTTCTAAGGGCCTGACTGGTTTAAACGCAGCGGTTGCGGTTGCGGTTGCGGGAGTTTGCGGAAGCGGGCGGTTGCGGTTTCAAGCGTTACCAAGCGTTTTGAACGACTGGTTTAGCGTTTGAAAATGGGTGCGTTTGCGGGAGGTTTATGACTGGTAAACCAGCGGGTGCGGTAGCAGTTAAATAAAAAATGACCAAAATAAATAAAAAATATTACAAAAAAAGAAATAAAAACACCAATATATTATTATGATAATATTAGAAAAATTGAACATGCTTAATAATTAAAACTATAAATAAAGTACTAAATAATTATTCAAAAATAAAGAAATTTTGTAACAAGATAGTACTTTATGCATCTGGTTTAACATCAAAAATTGCATCAAGTAATGGGACAAACTGTAAATAACGTTGAATTCAATTAAAAAGCAAGTGAGTTTCTATTCGAGAAAACAAATCGAAACATATATTCAATCAAAAAGCAAAGCAATACGTAATGAAAAGAAAAAAAAACGATGACATGAAAAATATTCAAAAAGTTACACATGAGGTGATGAATGAATAAAAGGATGTATGATACTTACGTTTGGTTCTTGATTTTCATCAGTTTGGGTGGAAGACATTGAGAGAATAGAGTTTCAGAATATTATTAGGGTTTCTGATGAGAACGTGATAAAAAGATGAAAGATATATATAAGATTAATATATATTATAATAATTATAAGTAAACGTTTGATTTTTTTTTTTTTTTTTTTTTTTTTTTTTTTTTTTTTTAATCCAACCGCTACCGCCCGCAACCGCAAACGCTTGCGGGAAGGAGCTTTTGAAATTCAGCGATTTCGAGCGGTTCAAAGCGGTACGGAGCGGTTTCTATGATTGGTACCAACCGCTAACAACCGCAACCGACCGCTAGCAACCGCTAGGAGGGTGCTAGCGGGAGAACCAATCAAGCCCTTAATTAATATTAAGAATTTCTTTTTTTTTTCTTTTTCAAAAAAAACTCTTTTGTAATATTGTTTTCTCAACTTAATGTGTTTTAATTTCTAGTCAAACTTTGATTGCGTTCGACATCATCAAATATAAATTCTTTAATCGATGTAATAGTTTTTTTTTTTTGTTTCGACATGCTATTGTAAGTGATAAAAGGTAATTTCTACAATAAAATTAGTGAAGATAACATCATACAATCGATATAGAAACCAAGTGATTGTCTACTATCTTATATTAAAAGAGATTTTTTGTTGGTTAACTCTATTACACGTTTAATAAAACATGATCTTTTAATATTTTTGCCCCTAGGAAAATTAGTTTCCAGATCCGCCATTTTATGAAACAATAGCTGATACCAAATAGAGACTATCAACTCAGGACCTTTCACTCATTTTTATTGAGAGAAAAAAAAAACCAATTGAATCAACTTTTCTTCGGCGATATGATATTTTTATTCAGATAATTTATGTTATAATCTGAATAATCTAAACTTAGGCAAAAAAATCACGATTTTCTTAGAGTTCATCTAAGACCACCAGATGTATAAGCCAATTATGCTGAATATTATTTATTTGTTTGATTTTGACATTCTGAATTTTGGGCGCTTGGTTATTTTAGAAATAATTAGTTTGATCTGATTTAAAATTAATATTTTCGTTTATCAAACAAAAATCAAGAATTCCGAAAATAAAATTTGCATTCGGTTTTGGTTTTCAGGTTAGGTCTTAGTTTCAATAAATTATACCTTTACAGATTGTTAAATTATATTTTAATATCATATTTTTGGATCCACGGATGCATATTTTAAGAAAATATTTGTTTCAAACATCACCAAATTGTTGCTAAAGTTTACATACGCCTTGGACAACAATACCTTCAATACTCTTAACTGATAAAAACTACAATTAACGTGGTGCTACAAAATTTGTGTAAAATAAGTTAATGATGTAATTTTGTATAGAAAAGTTCCAAAAAAATAGCACTAAAATAAGTTGTATAAATATTTTCTTGCTATCTGTGAGAATTTTTTTTTTATATCATGTTTGTTGATTAATCAAATATCACAAAATTAGTGATATGATTTTAAAAATATTATTGAACCATTAGTTATAAACAATATACTAAGATATGTTAGGAGGTAATTTGAAGTTTATAGTTGGCCTAATGTTTAACTAATAAGTATTCATATGTTGATTGATTGTCTATACTAAGATATGTGTTGAATTTTTTGATTTAACATTTTCCAGCTAATTTTAGTTACAGTTTAGATAGTTTTTATCCTTTATGCAGACAGAAAAATTGAAAATGTTTAGACTGCCATCATTCATCTGTAAAAATGTTTCACCCAAATTCATCTGTTAAAGACAACATAGAAGAAGTAAAGATAGAGTAACTCTAAATTGGAGGAAGAGTGAAGATCGGACTGCGGCGATTATAAACTCTGATGCCTTTTACGACATGTCGTCATCATTTTTCCGCAAATTTCACTAGACTACGGTGGAGGATTGTGACACGTGGTATTTTTATTGATCTCATATTTTGATACATGTAAAACAAAATATTTCTTATAAAAAAAGTATACAATAAATAACAAATCCTAAAAGTAAAAAAACCTTTTTAAAACTTATATATATAAAATGAAGATAATATAGCAAATTACTAATCTTAAAGTATATTTTCGTGTCAACAATTTTAGTAGTTAAAGAAACTATGCAAAAGTGAAAGTAAAGAGACATATACTTTGGCTTAATGTGTTCATAGAGACATTTTGTAGGTAATCGTAAAGAGCATACTTTAACATTTAAAAAATACATGGATGTAAAAACACCTTTTATAATGGTAAAATAAATAGTAAATTTGATAATAGATGTAAATAAGAATGGTTTAACTAGTGGTTTGCATCTAATTTTTTTTTCTAAAAACGTTGTTGAATTATTTTAGGCGAGATCATAAAATTACGTTTTTCGCAATTTTGGCAATAATAATAATGATAAAATTTTGGAAAAAGTTTTGGTGGTTGATAATTTAATTTTACTGGATTATTGTAATAAACATTATAAGAAATTTAAAATATACAAATGCAAATGGTTTATTAAGACAAAAGAACGAATATATACATAATTGTTTTCTCTAACTAAAATATTTTATATATTTTAAAAATAATTTCTACTTATAACCAAATTTTTAATTTAATTTATTTTGTTAAATTTGATTTTAATTAAAAATATTTAAACTCGTTCATCAGACGAGTTCTAATATAGTTATATATATATATATATATATATATATATATATATAATTTAGTGAAGTATAAACGATTACAAGTTTATTTTTAAGGTTAGAAAATTTTATCTCTGGTATTTGGAATTTTTTTTGACAATAGAAAATGTTATCAAAATTTTTTAATTCAGGATTATAATGATGTGATGTAATCATGATATTTGTTTTTGCGTATGATGTAATCATTATCGACATGAGAGTTGTTTGCAAGATAAGATATTTTGTAAGTTCCAGCCGACCTCCTAACAAAGCAAACCGAAAGAAATGAGCTTCTAGGCTGGACCATTCATAATTTCATATTATATGAACTATATAAAATATAATTATATACTTATTTTCTTCCCAAATAATTTGTCACTTGTGGGTCTTCCTTTTGGCTTTCGCTTTTCTATCTTAAGTTGTAATTTTGCTAAAATCGTCTTCTCCAAGTTTAATGTTTTATAGAAAAACAAAAGAAATCCAACTAGACTTTTCGGTTACAAGTTATTACAACATACAATTACTCATTCTATTTGTAGTGGTGGTTCGTCGACTAGTGAACCGTGGCGACTCGCGAGTATTCGTATCCGTATCATACTAGAGCAAACGTTTACATCTACCCAGAAATCTTCACCGTGGAAGCAGACTCCCAAATCTTCGTCAACTTCATTAAACATGAATTCTTGAGACGTCTTTGAGAACATCAGATCGTATGTTTATCTTTGAGATCTTATTTTCTTTTCAAAGAAAACTGCCAAATACTTGAACAACCAAAAAAAAGAAAAAAAAGACTTAGTTGATTCTCTTTCAAATCGTATTAAAATAGAAATTTCAGATAAAAACAAAAATCAATACACGATGTACAATGGGGGCTATCAATTTCTCATCCACTCGATAACAGCTCATCACGAACTAAGCAACTACTATTTATCTCATTAA